CCTCTATTCTCACCCACTCCGTGCCGACGTCCCGCCTATATTCTCACCCACTCTGTGCTGACGCCCCGCCTCTATTCTCACCCACCCCGTGCCGACTTCCCGTCTATATTCTCACCCACTTTGTGCCGCCGCCCCGCCTCTATTCTCACCCACTCCGTGCCGACGCCCCGTCGCTATTCTCACTCTGATTCTTTTTGCTGTCTTATGTCTGATATCGAATAAACTTCTCTTATTTAGTTTTTTTTAAAGTATAACATTTTATTGTACAATTTGCATCTTTTTCAGAGAACAGAATCACACACTAAATTAATAAAAAAAGATACAAAATGAAAGTTTAGATCAACAGAAATAAACAAATACAAATCAGCAGGAAAATACCAGTCATGGGGGAAGGGGAAGAAGGAGTTCACTAGGGCTGATTAGGATACAATAAAAGATAATAAGAGGTCAAATAACACATTTTATAATAATAATAAAAATTCTACTTGTCTGGCACTTTAACTGACATTGTAGCAGATGGAAGCTCATCTCGTTGATCTGCAGATCTGAATGAATTTTGTTAAAATGGAAAATAAATTGGTCAGGTGTTTCAGCCGGTGTGAGTTCTCTGATGTCTCATTGGAGGTTCTTTTATAACAAAACAAGTCCCGCACTCTATACATGGATAAGGACGCTCACCTGTGTGACTTCCCTAGTGTACAATAAGGTCTCCTTTTTAAATGAAACATTCCCACACTATAAACATGAATGATGACATTCGCCCATATAACTTACAAAAAGTGTCCTTTTTCAGCAAAACATTTCTCGTCCTCTAAACATTAATATGGAAGCTCACCCGTGTGGACTCTCTGGCGTCCAAGATAGGTACCTTTGATAAGAAAACTTTTCCCGCACTCTAAACATGAATATGGATATTCAGCGGTGAGAGTTTTCTGGTGTCTAAGAGGGATTTTCTGTGTCAGCATAACTTTTGTCACACTCTGAACATTAAAAAGGATGCTCACCCTTGTGAATTATTTGGTGTGAAAGACGGGGTCTTGTATCAGAAAAACTTTTCCCGCACTCTATACATGAATTACAAATGCTCACATATGTGAGTTCTCTGGTGCCTAAGAAGGGATCCTTTGCAAATATAACTTTGCCCGCACTCTGCACATGAATACGGACGCTCACCTGTGTGAATCCTCTGGTGCCTAAGAAGGTCTTTTTTTTCAGCAAAACGTTTACTGCACTCTAAACATGAATGCGGACGGTCACCTGTGTGAAGTCTCTGGTGACTAAGAAGAGCTCTTGTGTTAGTAAAACTTTTCCCACACTCTGTACATGAATAAGGACGCTCACCTGTGTGTATTCTCTGGTGACTAAGAAGAGCTCCTTTGTTAGAAAAACTTTTCCCACACTCTGAGCATGAATACGGACGCTCACCTGTGTGTATTCTCTGGTGTATAAGAAAAGATCTTTTGGAAGTTAAACTTTTCCCACACTCTGAACATGAATACGGACATTCACCTGTGTGAATTTTCTGGTGTCTTACAAGCTGTCCATTCCTAGCAAAATTTTTCCCACATTCTGCACATGAATACGGACGCTCACCTGTGTGAATTCTCTGGTGTATAACAAGGTTTGTTTTACCCGTGAAACTTTTCCCACACTCTGAACAGGAATAAGAATTTTCACCCTTGTGATATTTCTGGTGTTTAAGAAACTTGCTTTCCTCAGAAAAAGCTTTCCCGCACACTGGACATGTAAAGGTCACATGGTTGTGGGTTTGGAGATGTAGAAGAAGTTCAGATTTCATCTTAAAGTCTTTCC